CGGATGCCGCCTTTTTAGGCCTACGCGGCCCACCAAGTCTACCTCCTCTTTACGTCTCCCACGTCTCTCTCTCAAAAATATCTAACACTTGCTCGCCTATCGTACGCTTCACGGCACCATACGGCTGTCCGTCCGCCCCACTCCGCATTTGCGGCCGCAGGCATCTCCCGCACGCACCTCCACCCTATGTTGTTCGCTTCTTGCTTCTGCTCTTCGCACGCGCCCACCAACGCCTCTCGCCTTGCTCCCGCAGTCCCACCCGCCGCGCGCCCACCCGCGTCGTCGAGTGTGCCTCGCCGCCTCTGCTGGTGCTTGTGGTGCCTTCGCACGCCTCAAGTCGGTCCCCGGCCGAGCCAAAGGCACCCATGAGCGCGGCCCATGCTGGTGGTGCTCACGCCCCGAGGCCAAAATCAACCGTCCTCGACCTCCCCTCCCAAGTGTTTCATAGGTATATTGCAGGTGTTCCGTATCGATGTTGCAAAAATAAATCGGGATGTTGCATATGTTGCAAGTATTTCAGATGCATGTTGCAAGTTTTTCAGAGGCATGTTGCAAATGTTTGTTCAAAATGTTTCATATGTTTTAGACGTATGTTGCAAGCATTTTTATCTGCATTTTGCATATGTTTCACACCTATGTTGCAAGAGTTTGTTTGAAATGTTTCAGTTGTTTCAGTCTTATGTTGCAAATAGTGTTGTTTTAATGTTGCAATTTGCAAGTGTTTTATCTGGATATTAATATGTTCCACACACATGTTGCAATTGTATGTTCCAAATGATTCATATGCTTCAATCGTATGTTGCATCCAAGTGTTTCATGTTTTAGAGACAGAGAGTCCTGGGGCACGGCCTAGGCGCCGGGGGATGGGGCGCGGTGAGTCGTGGGCCAACGATCGAGGCACGCAGTTGACCTAGGATCCTGCGGATGGGGTATGCTCATCCTCATGTCGGCTCTCGAGTCCTACCCACCTAGAGATAGAGGAGGGGGTCAGGGGGAAGGAGCGGCGGGAGCGGCGTTTCTCGTGGGCGTCCAGACTCGCGGTCGTGGAGAGGGAGAAGGGGGGCAGGGGGAAGGAGCAGCAGGCACGGCCTTTTCCGCGAGCCCGCGTGACGAAGGTGGCGCGGGAGTCCGGACATGCGCTTTTGTCCGGACATCCGGACGCTAGTATCTCCCATCCAAAAATTGAAAATGGGTGCTACACTAGCAATAAAAATATAAGTTTTGGGAGAAACCCATTAGCCAAGCACTGCGGTAGCACATCTCAAGTCACGCGAAATACGTGTGTTCTTAAATTCAAACCCGTAACCTCTTGTCTCACACACGCTCTCTACAATCACACTACACAGTTACTTGTAACCAAGTCACCAAGTGTAGGATGCTATCTTTTTGTATTAACTTCTTTGAATTTTGTATTGAATATATTTGACCCATAAATGATCTCAAATGATAAAGTTAAAATTATATATATAGTTTTAGATCTCATCGAGAGCTATCTTTTATATGGGTTTGTCTCCATGAGGTCATGTGAAAATAAAAATAAATAAATAACAAAATCTAAAAATTAAAATATATATTTGGGCTCCTAAACTATATCAAATAAAAAAAGATATTAATTACAAAGTTTTAAATTTGGTCGAGATCTATAATTTTGACATAAAAGTTATCTTCACCTAATTTCATTATAAAACAAAAATATGAACTTTTTTCCAACACCTATTTCTAGAGGCAGACCGTAATACTAGCGGCTGCTAAATCGATTTCTAGCATCATTGATGTTACCCATTACCTCTAGAAATATCTTTATTTCTGTGATGGTTGATCGATAACATCTTCTGACCCTAGAAATGCCAGTTTCAAGATGCGGTTGAGATTGCCGACCAGCCTGGAAAATAGAACACATTTCACATTGATTTTCAGTCGTGGACGGTTAGCATTATAATAGTGTCTAGAAAAAATCAAGATACTTCTAAAATCATCTTGGACGTAAACTGGGCTTGTGTTAGTCATGAACTTTACCTAAAAATAATGACTTGACAAGTTTATTTTATGTAAAGACAATTAAGTTTATAACTGCAAATAAGTATGTTATAAAAATATATTCATAAATATCTAACAATGCTTATTTGGTATTAGAAATATTTATATTTGACATAATGAAAAAATAGTGTGATAGAGTGTTTGTAGTAGGGGCCTCAAATTTTACAAGTTTCTCATCTAGGTCCATAAATTCTCAAATTCAGACCACAGGTCCTTAAACTTTTTAATAAATAGTTCACGTAAGTGAGACTCGTGTCAGAGTCAAACACTTTAATTGTTTAACAACAATATCCTGGCTTTGAGATTTTTTATGGCCCATATGAGGATCTAAGAAAAAATTAAGGATCTAGGTGTATTTTATTCATAAAAATGAAACATACTGCTCCTAGGAGATGGTGTGTCGACCGTGGGTGAATTCTCTATGGCATGGATAGTACCATAGCATACCTCTAAATCAGTGGTTGTGGGTGAAAAAGGAAGAGGAGATAATGTGAAACATTACAAAAAGAGCTAAGTGTGTGGTTGGTTTGGAGATGACGTGGGATGGGATTATCCTGTCCCTATTTTTTGAATGGGATTGTACAGTTTCTATGGGCCCTACATGTTAGTAGTGTGGCCCACAAGCTAGCCTTATCTCTTCTTCCCATTTGCTGCTGCACACTAGCGCCGCCCGAGCGCACCGCCATTGACCGTAACACGCACCGGGCTGCCTGTTATTGACCCCTTCCTCCCTACACCACCATTTGCCTCCCTGCACCACCATCTCCCAACAGCACCACGAACTGTTGCAACACTATCACTCGCTGGCCCAGGGCAGCCCATCCAAGCTCAGCAGCAGCCATTCAGGCTGTGAGCTAGAAGGGGTGTGACCATGAACTCTGATCATCGGAGGAGGGCCGTGGGGGTGAGCTCAATCGCCGTCATCGGAGCTGCACTATCTCTAGCTCCACACGCGAGGACAACAAGTACAAGTAGACGGACGACAACGGTATTGATAGGAGATGAGCCCGTCTTCTTGATTTCAATAGATAGAGTGACCCAAATCTTATGAAAATATTCCCCTTAGGGCTTGTTCGTTTAGGGCTGGTTCTGGGTAGAAATCAATCCTGGTGAGCACATTCTATATAAATTACACGAGCAATCCTGGCTGGAATGATTCCACGGCACGAATCCATGTCAACCGAACACAGCCTTAGGGGACAGTCCCAAGCCCGCTCGCCCTAGAAACAAACACCATGAAAAGGACTTGCTACATCCCATCACCGATAGTCCCTAGAAGGCTGGAAGCAAACACATGCTAAGGTTCCTCGTGTGGGGTAACGTGAAAACAAGAAAAGAGCCGACATGCTCATGGTCTCATCGAGCCTAGTAGCACGCTTGATAATGGATTCCCTGTTTCATAGTGGTTGTTGTAAGTAGATCTAAGCAAATTGAGCCTAGCCCGGCCCGGCCTGTGGGCTCGGACCGAGCCTGATGGGTCCGGCCCATCAACCTTAGTGGACAGGGCTTGCACACCTGCTGCTCAGAAAAAAAAATTCGCATCCCGAGTCCAGTCAAGGATATTCATTTTAGCCCGATTGGTTTTGTATTAAATTGTTCAATCTTTTGTTTGTACTAGTCATTTTTTTCGTTATATATATCTCAGATACGAGGCACTATTTTAAGTGTCTATATTCATAAAACAACATGTTTATTTATTTTACACAGAAGGTAAAAGTAGCGTTTAGCATTAAAATTATCATCAAAGTTCGTCCATGTTTCCTTCCTACGAACACAACAAGAACAACGTAGTATACTCTATTCTCACCACCACTGAAAAGCAGTACGAAGAAGAATCAACCACACCTAGAACCCCCAATCATTGCCTTGGTGTTGTTGTTCTCTGCATCCCCTGCACATCCTATATATATTAGCAACGTTAATCTCTGAGACATTGGACATGACCCCCATGACGATGGGATATTAGTGCACTTTCAGTCCCCCCATGATGAGTGCAACAGTAATGACCAGATGCATGCATTATTATATAATATAATATATTTGGCATCAGATTAAGTACAATAATTCCCGGGGACGGGAGACACGGCAATCTCCAAGACTGATTCCGTGAGCTGAACCTGGACGCTTGGGTTGACCAGGTCCACCATTTTTATTTTTATTTTTTTGCTGCATTCACGTCACGGCGCCGCGCAGGTGCGTGTACGAAGCAGACGAATAAAGCGTACGGGCTTGGTCCCATGATATCTGACACTGTCGTCAGATAGAGATCATCAGGAAACTTCAGGCTCTTGTTCCTGAGATCCCATCATTTTCATTTTTTTTTCTACTCCTTGTTTTGGTTGGTACTCCGTAGTACTATCTATACTATCCTTTTGTTTTAGCATACTCTAAGTAGATTACATATATATATATATATATATACATCCACACAAGACGCGTAATGCATTTTTGGGTGTTTTATAACCATCTGGTTATTGAGTTTCCGGTGTCTTGAGATCTTGAGGCCCATTATTTGATTCAGTCATGTACATATTTATGATATTGTAGTTTGTCGCAAAACCATTTCCATCACCAGTTTTCTTTTATGGATGAATAAATGGATTGACATCTAATAATATGGAAATGGTTTTGAAGGTGGTGGTGTCCATGCCACTGCAACCTAAGAGATTCTCAATGTAAACATATATATTCTTTTGCAATTGCATTTCAACTTGTCATCCATGAGAGGAAACAGAAAGAATTACATCATGCTTGTTGTATTTTTACCCACGTGAATTGCACGTGCTAGCTAGCTAGACCTTCTTTGCTAACTATACCAAGAAATTGCACACTGACAGGACCATAGATCTTCAGAAACAAAGAAAACTAAAGGATCATCCTCAGAACATTCTTAACCATGTTTATGCTCTCTAAAAACCAAAGGATGTGAAGGTGCATCTGCCGGTGGGGCCTGGGCCCCGGGATTAGCAGTTCCAGACAGGTAGGTCCCAGAGATTACCCTGGGCCCACTCGTCATTGTCCGCCATACTGCCCTCCCATACAGGCGGGGCCATGAGCATGGCCTCGGCCAGCTCAGCCCACATCTTGGGCGACTGATCTGCCGCCAGCTCGTCGTCGGCTCCAAGTCCAAGCAAAGCGTCCCACGCCACGTCGTCGCCGCCGACCAGCGGCGGCTCCGGGCTGCCGGCGTCACTTCCGCCGCCGCCGCCGTAGGCGCAGCAGCCGCCCTCGCCGGCGGCGCCGGCCTGCATCTGCATTAGGACGAGGTCGGGCCTGAACCGGACCTGGGCGGCGGCCTCGAGCGCGGCGGCGCGGACGTCGTCGGGTTCCGCGGTGGCCGGGCGGCGGAAGCGGTGGACGAGCGCCGGGAAGTTGAGCCGCGCCTCGCGGCCGCGCAGGCGCAGCGCGGCCACGTCGTGCGCCACCGCGGCCATCTCCGGGGACTCGAAGCTGCCCAGCCAGATGCGCGTCTTCTTGCCGGGCTCTCTGATCTCCGACACCCACTTCCCCCACTTCCTCTTCCTCACGCCCCGGTACTGTCCTCCGGCCACCTCCCCGGCCGCGAAGCCGGCAGCGTTATCGAGCACAACCTCCATTTTAGGGATGAGCTGATGAAGTTACAGTGACGAAACTAGCAGCAACGCGCAAGCAAGCTAGCTTGAGCTCTGTGTGTTGACAAATGTAGACTATGGATCGATGCGATGTTGTAGTGAGACGAAAGATTTGTTGGTGCTGGGAGTGGGAGGTGCATGCGTGCAAGTATATATATGGAGATGAGGAGAGGAGGAGTGAGGTGTGCAGGAGTGAAGATCGATGAGGGAAGATGGCATGGGTGCATGCATGGGGAGGATGAGGACAAGCGAGGTGATGTTCGACCTGGGTGGAGACAGCTGGAGCCTAATACGTGTCCTTTTTCAGGATTTCTTTTGTTCACATATATGTATTTTTTATTTTTTTTATTTATGGATTGTCTGTTTGGATACAAAAACATCAGAGAGGAAGATTGTGCTGGTGCATTATCCACCGGCACAAGGATATCAGTCATCAGAGATGTTGGTTTGCTTTAGAGGGAGGGGGGGAGCTGAGGGAGCTTCCTGGATAGTGCAAGGGCTTTTGGAGGTTAGCTTGGACGAAGTAGCAGTACTGTACTTGTCGTCTTCATTTTTTTTTTAGGAAACGGCAGGGAAGATCCCTACTTTTTTTTTGTATTTTCATTAAATGAAAGAAAAGTTGTACAGAGCAAAGTTACAAGGCTGTCAAAGTCCAAAACAAAAAAGAGTAAATTTCCATACAAATAGGGGATCAGAAATACTCTTCTTGGCCTTGATACAAATCTGACCAAGTTCCTCCTTGAGAGATGCCCTCCATTCCAGCAGAGTTGCAGTTTGATTATCAAAGATAAATTCCATTTCTCGCTTTCTAAAGGACCCAACACGCAGTTATAAAAATTTCTCTGAAGATGTGACTGTTGAAGTCTATTCTTGCTTGAATGATCATGTCCAGTGGCTGAAGGTTGAAATTCCACTGAATATTAATAGAGTTCCAGCAATCAGAGCTAAAAGGGCATTTAAAAAAGAGATGGAAACAAGTTTCTTCAAGACCATTGTGGCATAGAACATAGTTGTAGTCTTCCATATACATGTTTTTTCTTCTCAGGAGATTCCTAGTGCTGAGTCTATCCCTGATCAGGAGCCAGGCAAAAAAAATTCGTTTGCCAATGTTACCTGATTTGCAAAACCAATTGAACAATGGAGATGCTTCACAAGATCCCTGGAGTTGAGAGTATGCCTTTTTTGAGGAGAATGATGGTCCTCAGGTGTAAGCCCAAACATCTTGAGAATTTTGATCCCATATTCTGTCTATGATGAGTTGTTGAAGCTCACTGTATTGCTGTGAAGCTTGTACTAACAGGGGTAGGAAGAAGCATTGGTTGGTCTGATTGTTGCTGTAAAACTAAAGCGAGCAGTTTGCTTTCAGGGCATAAGAAAAGAGATGAGGATATTTATTTTTCAGGATCTGACTAGACCAATTGTCCTTCAGAAAGCAACTGAATTTCCAGGATTTGGGTGGCAGATAGCAAAAGCCTTGAACTTTTCAAATAGTTTGATTATCTCTCTCCACCAGAAGGATCCAGTGGGGCTTCTTTCATGAGGAGGAATGTTGGTATTCTGATAAAGTTTGGACCAGGTTAGCTTGACCCAAGGAATGTCAGGATGATTATAAAATTTGTCAAGAAATTTCATAAGTAGTGTTGTGTTCTAATTTTTCATATCAATAATCCTAAGGCCCCCTTCATCTTTGGGCCTGCATGATGGTTCCCAAGCAGCAAGGCATGTACCTCTTCTACTAATATCCCTTTGCTCCATAAACAATGTTTTCTAAATCTATCTATCTATTGGATCACTATAGGGGAATTACAATACTGCACATATAGTATGTGGGCAAGGCAGAGAAAACTGAGTTCACCATTATGAGTCTTCCTTGATAGGAGAGAAATTTACTCACCCCTGAGTGTCTCCTTTCCATTTTGGTTAAGAGGAGACTAAATTCTTGCACAGTGGGTCTTGTTGTGCCAAGGGGTAGGCCCAAGTAGGTGAAGGGCATGGACCCAACCTCACATCCGAAGGTTTGTGCCAGGAGGGATAATTTTCCTGCAGAAACATTAATGGGAACCAGAAAGCTTTTTTGGAAGTTCACATGTAGCCCAGTGGAATCAGAGAAAGTCCTGAGCAAGCATTTTAGAGTGAATAGTTGCCTAGCATCTGCTGTCATAATTAGTAGAGTGTCATCTACATACTGGACTATGGGAAAGAATTCCTCAAAATCATCTGCTAGTGGATTGTACAGAACACCAGCTTGCCTGGCTTTATTGACAATTGTTTGAAGGTCAACTGCCAAAACAATTAAAAAGGGAGAGAGTGGATCACCTTGTCTAACTCCTCTCTTGCAGGCAAAATGTTTCCCAGGTATGCCATTCAGGAGGACAGAAGAAGTTCCTGATTTGAGTATGACCTCCACCCATCTGACCCATTTTTTAGGGAAGCCTTTAAATTTCATGACATCTAAAATAACTTGATGTTCTAGCTTATCAAAAGCCTTTTTGAAGTCTAGTTTCAAGATGACTATTTCGTTTTTAGAATGGTGACATAAATGTAGGAACTAGAAAGCCCAAGCCAGGCAGTCTTGGATGGTCCTGCCCTTGATGAATCCATATTGATCAACATGTACTAGCTGAAGAATAACCTATTGTAGCCTGGAAGAGAGCAGTTTGGTGATGCACTTCATGGAGTAGTTCAAGAGGGAGATGGGTCTAAAATCATTAACTATTTCTGAATTGCTCTTTTTAGGAATCAAGGTGATATAGGAGGAGTTGATGCTGGTGAGGTCAGTGAAATCTCTGAAGAAGTCAGAGAACAATCTAAAAAATCTGGCTTTATGATTGACCAACACTTTTTAATAAATTTGTCATTGAGACCATCTGGACCAGGAGCATAATTGTTGGGGATCTCAGAGATCACCTTGTTATAGTCCTCCTCAGTGAAATCATTAGCCAAGAAGTTTAAGTCATGCCTTTGGAGAAGGGAATACAAATCATATGTCACTCCAGTAAACTCAGAGACACCCAATCTATTTTTAAAGCCCTCCCACAGAATACCTGCTTTCTGATAATGATTGGTGACTATGACATCATCAGGTAGAGAAAGGCTAGCAATAGAATTCCTTCTATGAGAAATTGATGCCATTGCTTGGAAGAAACTGGTGTTTTCATGTCCAAGTTTAATCTATCTAACTGTGTTTCTTTGTTTCCAATAGTATCTTTTAGATTCCAGCAGCTTGGCAATGTGTCCTTTGATCAGCTTTCTAAAGCATGATTCCAGGCTTGATAAAGGTCTCTGTTCTTCTAATCCATCTAGCAGAAGAAGAACCTAGTCATAATTGTGGAGCAGCTTGTTAACATTTGGAAACCCCTTTCTCCATTGTTTTAACCCAATTCTTGTTTGCTTGAATTTTGCAGATATGGTTCTGGCTGCATTAGCATGGAAGGGAGAACTATTCCAATAGAGTTCCACCATTTTAACAAAGTCAGGATGATCTGCCCAGTGATTTTCAAACCTGAAAATACAAGCTCTAGGTATGTTGCTGCCAAAGTTGATAACATAGGGTGTATGATCAGAGGTGGGCTTCGACAGAGGTTGCACTGATGTACTTTGGTATTTCAAACTCCAACTTGAATTACAGAATACCTAGTCAAGTTTGACTAGAAGGGGGACAAGTTGCATGTTACTCTAGGTGAAGGATCTGCCACTGAAGGGGATGTCAACCAACTCAAGATCAGAAATAAGATCATTAAACATTTGCATATCTCTAGCATCCCCACCAACCCTGTTCCTATCTTCTGTTGATCTATATAGGTTAAAATCACCAACCATAAGCCAATCTTCAAAGCTAGTGGTATCAAGATTTAAGAGCCAGGTGATGAAAGCCAATTTTCCAGAAGCATGAGAAGGCCCATATATGTTGCTTAGAAAAAAACAACTATTGTCAAGCTTGTTAATAAATTTGATAGTAACACAATAGGCATTAGCTTGAATAACATCTCCAGAAAACACATTGTTATTCCAAATTGTGATAATGCCGCCAGAGGCCCCAACTGAGGAAAGAAAGCAAAAGAATTAAGCCGTTTGGTGCAAAACTTTTTGAGGTACAATTGATCAAAGTTGTCTCTCTTGGTTTCTTGAAGGCAAACTATGTGACAAGAACTATCATTGATCTTTGCTCTAATGGCATCCCATTTTCCTTTTGAGTTCATACCTCTTACATTCTAGGCCAAAATGTTGAAGCTTTTGTTATTACTCATTGTATCGCATAAGAGAGATGGAGGAATGAACTATCACACCAGGCAATAGTTAAACAGAGAGCAGTAAGATAGCATAGCACAGTGAAAGAGCCATAGATAAACAAGCATAAGTAAGAAAGGTAAACGATAGGATTGACTGATCTATTCAACCGTGAAGTACTTTGTCCAGGCCACATGGCAACAAAAGTCTTATTAAACCAGTATGTAGACTGATGACACATGAAAAACACTAACTTAACATTGTCTTGACCCCATGAAAGCAAAAGAGGCACCACCCAATGGCATGGTGATGCAAGAGCATGCATGTTCAGAGTAGTTGTCATTGATGTCCTTCTAGAGAATGGTAGCAGAAACATCACTAGGATGAATCTAGAGGAACCCAGTAGCAATGCCTTCAATCACCTCCTTTGTCAGATAGGGCGCTGGTGTTGAGGTGGAGGGTGAAGCTAGGATCATGGTGAGGGGCACCGGCTTGAGCACATCTTCCTGGGTGCTCCTCTTCTTCTAGGGGGTCTTGAAACCAGCATGCTTCACTGCATTCCTCTTGCTGCACCTCAGAAATTCTTCATCCAGTTGTTCCTTGACCTTAACAGCCCTTCTCTTCCTAGGGGTGAACTGGGCCGGGGCGATCTCCATCACATCATCCTCAATCTCCTTGCGGGTAGGGGTTGGCTGCTTGGTCTTATCAGGGATGAGGTAGGCCAACCACGCAAGAGTTAGGAAATCATCAAAGTAATC